TTTTGCTTATAGAAGCTTACTTTATGTGTCAAATTTCATACACAGAAATGTTATACAATAGTCTCTGCGATACAACAATACACAACTACATTACATTCATCTGAGCAGGACTGAATCTATGACACTCAATCAGTGTTGTTCAATCACATGACTCTTTGTTAATCTGCTATCTGATTCGTGAATGTTAATTTCATTATATCTGTATTTAGAGTAAATACACTTCAGCGAGGAATGAACGAAAGGAATATCAGAATATGAAATTAATAAATGCTTAAATGACATTTGATTCAATATTGTTTGTAAGTTCATTGGTTAATGACTTATATTACTTTTCTCCGGCTGCTGTAACTGTGTGTTTATGAAGCACATTCATTATGGCCAAAAAAAAAATGGCAAGATGAGAGGGTGGCCCAAAAACAGAGTGTCGCCTCTCGCGCTCCCCCACGTCAGGACCAGGGGTCTAAACAGTGCTCTGGGTCGGGGGTTCAAAGCCTAAACCAGATCTAAGAACTATTCTGGAGGCTAAGAAGTCCTCGACGAAGAAGTCCTGACGCCAGTGCCTCAGGACTTCTGAGGGCAGGCCCCTCTGGGGAAGAGCGGGGTTCACCGCATTACACGGTGCCCGTCTCTCCTCAGTGCCCTCAGGAGATCGTTCTGCACACTGAAATGTTATGCAATAGTCTCTGCGATACAACAATACACAACTGCATTACATTCATCTGAGCAGGACTGAATCTATGACACTTAATCAGTGCTGTTCAATCACATGACTCTTTGTTAATCTGCTATCTGATTCGTGAATGTTCATTTCATTATATCTTTATTTAGAGTAAATACACTTCAGCAAGGAATGAACGAAAGGAATATCAGAATATGACATTAATAAATGCTTAAATGACATTTGGTTCAATATTGTTTGTAAGTTCATTGGTTTCATCTTTAGTTTGGGTCTTAATGACTTATATTACTTTTCTCTGGCTGCTGTAACTGTGTGTTTATGAAGCACATTCATTATGGCCAAAAAAAAAATGGCAAGATGAGAGGGTGGCCCAAAAACAGAGTGTCGCCTCTCGCGCTCCCCCACGTCAGGACCAGGGGTCTAAACAGTGCTCTGGGTCTGGGGCTTCAAAGCCTAAACCAGATCTAAGAACTATTCTGGAGGCTAAGAAGTCCTCGACGACGAAGTCCTGACGCCAGTGCCTCAGGACTTTTGAGGGCAGGCCCCTCTGGTGAAGAGCGGGGTTCACCGCATTACACGGTGCTCGTCTCTCCTCAGTGCCCTCAGGAGATCGTTCTGCCAACCCCGCCGATGCTACAGGGCGCAGCGGTCTCCCGTGAGCACTTCTCTCAGCTACTGCCCGGAAACATAGTGGTACTAAGAGGCTCGCTACCTCTGCGGTGGTCTCTAGAGCAGCTAGTTCGGCTGTCCCCTGCCGGTGTGCCGCTTCAGGGCACTGAGCTAGCCACTCTGATTACACCAGAGGTCAGTCTCGAGAGACTGAATCCCTTAGTAGACTATTTTTGCAGTGTGGAAACTACTGCCAAATGTGGGTCCTGCACACTGTAGAGAGGGGCTACAGAATCCAGTTTGGTTCTCCTCCACCTCCTCTCAATGGGGTCCTTCCCACCCTGGTGGGTCCCGAGCAGGCTCTGGTAATGGAACAGGAAGTAGATACTCTCTTGAGTAAGGAGTAGTGTTGCTTTCGTCAACGAAAATTATGACAATATCGTCGTCAACGAACCTTTATCACGTGACGAAAACGAGACGAGACGCAACGTAAATGCTGGTCATGTGACGATGACTATAATTAAATGTATAATGCAATATTGAATAAAAACGAGACTAAATGTCTTTTCATTTTCGTTGACCAAAACGAGACGAAACGAAATGTTATAACGTTATTTCGTCTCGTTTAGCCGCGTTATTATTATTATTTTGCAGTATTTCTGTTTCCTGTGTCTCACGTGTCTCCCTGCATCAGGTCGCACTGCGCAGACACAGGCGACGTCACTTCCTCAAGCCACACTCGCGGCACTCGCGGCATCAGTGTTTCCCAACCGGGGTGCCGTGT